CAGCGGGGACGTCCATTCCAGTCCGCTGCTCTCCACGGGGCCGTACTTGGCGAGTACGCTCTCCATGAGGACAGGGAAGGGGGGGGGGGGGGGGGTAGGGTGGTGGGTGGGTGGGTGAGCTGGTCCGTTGGCTGGCGGGAATTGGCAACGAACTGTGTGACACGAGTATGTGAACGAGATGTAATTGAAGGAAGTGCTAGTGACGATTATTTCAACAGGCAACAATTGAAGGGAGTGGCAACGATTATTTCAACAAGCAACAATTGAAGGGAGTGGCAACGATTATTTCAACAAGCAACAATTGAAGGGAGTGCAACGATTATTTCAACAAGCAACAATGAAGGGAGTGGCAACGATTATTTCAACAGGCAACAATTGAAGGGAGTGGCAACGATTATTTCAACAAGCAACAATTGAAGGGAGTGGCAACGATTATTTCAACAAGCAACAATTGAAGGGAGTGGCAACGATTATTTCAACAAGCAACAATTGAAGGGAGTGGCAACGATTATTTCAACAGGCAACAATTGAAGGTGAGCGGTCCATGTCGTTGCACACCGTCAGCTCTCTCCGTCCTTCCAAAGTCTGTCAAGGCAGAACAGGGCCAGCATGACAACGGCTGCGCTGTTGGCGCGGAAGCAGAAACTGAAGGAGCGGATTCGGTCGCTCAAGATAGCCCTGCAGGGCGCTTATGACGATTACCTCGAGGTCAAGCGCGCCCTGGGCGAGGAGGTGAGCGTGGAGCAAGAGGTCGGCGCACGACGGGCAAAGGCAACGGCGCAAAAGGCCGAGATCAAGTCCAAGCTCGAGTCGATGATGGCCCACGAGAAGGAGACAGGCGTGGCCGCCACACCGCGCGGGACGCGACTTTCGGATCTACAGTCGCGCTACCGTGCCCTGCGCGTACAGTCGACCCAGCTCAAGCTCGAGGAGGCTCGGCTGCTCTCGTCGTCCACCGGTGACGACGACGGGCGATCGCGTGGTGCGGCGGGAAAGAGCCCGATGGCGGAGGGCGATGCCAAGGATCGAAGTCGTGGACGGCCAGACTCGCTGGCGGCGCTGGCGGCGCGGCTCAACTCGTCGGCCTCGTTCGGCTCGAACAGGCAGTTCTCGCACTCGCTCATGGAGGTGGCCATCGACGACGACTCGTCGACCGCCAACGAGTGGGACATTTCGGTCTTTTGGCCCGATGCGTACACCGACTCGCGCGCAAGACTCGCCGTTCTTGCCATGGAGACCAAGCTGCTGGTGTGGCGGCTGACGCTGCCGGGCGTCGCCGCCTCGGAGCTCCGTACTGTCGTCCTTCTCACCCACTCCAACTACATTTCAACCAGTTCACTCATCGATCTCCTCGTGTCCCGCTTCAGCTGCGCCATGCCTATCTCTGCCACCCAACACGAGGTCTCTCGTTTCACCGCCACCATCCGTCCAGCCATCCAGACCAAGGTCCTCGACGTCATCGCCACCTGGATCACCAACCACTACTGCGACTTTGCCGGCCCTGACCGCGCGCACGAGCTCTCTGCCCTTACCACCGCCTTTGACTCGATGGAGCAGCTTGCAGCTGGCCTCGGCAACGACGCCGCCCTCGTCCGTATTGCTCGCCTCCGTGAGCTGCAGCAAACCCGCGCCCGCGACTTTGTCACCGAACACACTTACTCGGCGGTGAGCTCGGCAGCGGCGCCACGGGCCGAGCTCGTTTCATCGTCAACCATCTCCAAGCTCGCCAACGAGCAGGTCCATCCGCTCGAGCTTGCGCGTCAGCTGACCCGGCGCGCGTTTGCGGCGTACAAGCACATCACCGCGCCCGAGTTTCTCAAGCAGGCGTGGGCCAAGGACTCGGCCGCCGTCGCCGCACCCAACCTCCTCGCCGCCATCGACGAGTTCAACATGACCACTCGGTGGGCGGTGACCCACGTGCTCCGAGGGAGCGACCCACACGAGCGCGCCCACGCCGTCTGCTTCCTCATCGATGTCGCCAACAACTGCATGGTCCTCCGCAACTACGCCACGCTCATGGCCATTCTCTCGGCGCTCGGCTCTGTTGCGCTCTCGCGGCTCTCGTCGACCTTTGCTGCCATTCCGCAGAGCTACGAGGACAACTACTCGGAGCTCTCCGAGTTTATGTCCATGTCGAACAACTCCAAGTCGTACCGCGAGACGCTCAAGCGGGCACCGACGCCGTTCATCCCATACCTCGGTGTCTTTCTCCAGGACCTTGTCTTTATCGACGACGGCAATGAGAGCAAAGTCGGGCCAACCAAGCTCGTCAACCTCGAGAAAGAGCGCATGACCGCCGACGTCGTCCAGGCCGTTCTCCGCGGCCGCGCCGATGACTACCTTCTCAATCCGGTCTCCACCATCGAGACCTTTATCAACATGCCGGGCACTCTCGACGAGGACGCGCAGTACGCGCGCTCGCTGCAGCTCAAGCCACGCGGCGCAAGACTCGAAGTCGACGCCGAGCCGTTCCTCTCGCGCGAGACCATGACCCGCATCACCCACGCGCCACCGGCCGGCTCGCAGCGGCCCTCGTTCGACATCGGCGACAATCCCGAGATGCTTGACAAGCTCTTTGCTGCCATGACGCTGCGGACCTACGCCGAGGGCGAGTACATTGTCCGCGAGGGCGAGGTCGGCTCGGAGATGTTCTTTGTCCGCGACGGCATCGTCAACGTTGATCTTGCCGACGGCCGCTCGTTCCCGCTCAACCAGGGCGCATTCTTTGGCGAGATCGCGCTCTTCCTCCACCGCAAGCGGACCGCCAGCATCTGGGCCCAGACCCGGGTCGAGGCGCTCGTCCTCACCAAGGCTGCGTGCGATGAGGTGCTCACCGAGTTTCCGCACATGCGCGCCCGGTTCCAAAAGCTCGGCGAGGCGCGCCTCAACTCGGACGGTGAGCCGCCCGAGTGGATGCAAAAGCTGGCCAAGGAGGCGGCCAAGGCCTCGGACGAGGCTGCCGAAAAGGGCCTCCTCTCTGCCATGCGTCAGCACCTGCGCAAGCGCACCTTCCGCGCAGGTGAGTACATCATCCGCGAGGGCGACTCGGATGACGCAAACATGTACTTTATCTCCAAGGGCATCGTCGACTTTGAGCTGCCCGACGGCCGGACGTTTCCGGCCAACCAGGGCACCTTCTTTGGCGAGGTCTCGCTCTTCACCTCCAAGCCGCGCTCGGCCTCGGTCCGAGCCCACTCGGACGTCGTGCTCCTCGCACTCTCCAAGGCTGACTGCGAGTCCGTCCTCAATAAGTTTCCCAAGACCCGCAAATCGTTCCGCAAGCTCTCGCGAGCCCGTGCCAAGAACGCCAAGGACGCCCGCGCGCTCGTCCCGCCGTGGATGAAGGAGCTCGCCGAGGCGCTGGCTGCCTCGTCATCGCACAGCCAGTCGTCAAACCGTCGCTAGCTGCTCACCCGCCGTCGCCCGGCGACGAGGTCACAAACCGCCCCCGTCCGAGGTAAAGTCCGTCTGTCCGGTGCACCACCTTGGCCGGCTCGTCAATCACGGCGCGGGCTGACACTGCTGGCGGCGGTGCCTCCTCCCTGCCATCGGCAGTGGGCGAGTGGTCGATCTTGGCGCAGAGCCCGCTCGTGCCACGCCGTGCTGCGGCCGGTCTGCTGCTTTGCTTGGGGAGGAGTACATCGGTGAGTGAGGCCGTCGGCGGGTTGGCGAGGAACTGCGGGGCGCGGCTCGGCGAGCGAGCCGGTGCGGTCGGAGCCGGACTGCGACGCAGCGGGCTCTGCAGCAGTGTGGCATCGCGGATGACCCGCGATGGATGGTGCGACAAGCCGCCGCTCATCAGTGGCGGCGTCGGCAGAATAGAGATGCGCGACATGGAAAAGGTCGACGACTGGGCAGGAGTCAGCGGCGACATCGAGATGTCCGCCATCATCCCCATCTGACTGCCTGGCGTAGCCGGCGGAGTGGACACAGCCAGTGCCCCGCCTCTTGCCCTCGCCTCTACCGGCGACTCTGGCTCGCCCTCCGCGCCCGCACCTCCACCACCCCTCGCGCCTCCAGTCCGATACGGCATGGCCAGTCTCGGCTCATACGCCGCCCGTGGCTCGCGTCCACCATGATGCCACGGCGGCGTCTCACCAAGGTCAAGCGAAAGCGATGCGTGCGGTGCAGACGGAGCCAAAGCTGGAGCCGGAGCCGATGCGGGAGCTGATGCGGCTGGATCCTGGGGATGTGACATGAGGGGGAGGGTGGAGAGGTGGTACGCAAGGGCCGCCAGCGGAGCAAAGAGAGCAGCAGGGCCCCATTGGGCGGTGGAGATCAGATGGGCCGAGAGTGCCGCGCATGCTGCGCACACCCCGAGGAGCTGGAGGGGGGGGGGGGGAGCAGTG